TACCATCTGAGAGTGGCTACAAGTATTTTATTACCATTATCGATGATTATTCTAGATATACATGGGTATATCCCATGCGAACTAGGGATGAAGTACCAAAAATTATCCAAGATTTTCAGCGGATGGTCTTCACCCAATTTCAAACTGAAATCCAAATTTTTCAGTCAGATGATGCCAAAGAGTATTTTCATAGTAATCTCACGGAATTTTTTGCTTCATGTGGTTCACTTCATCGTAGCTCTTGTGCCCGAACACCATAGCAAAATGGTGTTGCTGAAAAAAAGAACTGACACCTCCTTGAAGTGGCCCGGGGTTTACTACTCCATATGAATGTCCCAAAACGCTTTTGGCTTGAGGTTGTCCTTTGTGCTACCTACCTCATCAACCCTATGCCCTCTCGTTGGTTAGAGTGCAAAGCCCCACACCAGCTTCTCTTTCCTGCGGCCCCCCTTCTTCCCATTCCTCCCCGTGTGTTTGGTTGTCGTTGCTTTGTCCAAAATTTGTCACCCACTCGTGGAAAATTGGATCCTCGTGCTATTCCTTGCATATTCCTGGGATACTCCTTCACTCAGAAGGGATACCATTGTTTTGATCCTGTTTCTCGGAAATTCTATGTTTCCATGGATGTCTCTTTCTTTGAGAGTGAGCCTTTTTCCTTTGTTTCTCCTCAGGGGGAGAGTAGGAATGAGGAGAAACTGGTTCAGCTCCCTCCTATTCCTGATCCTCATCCTTTTCGTGTCTTCTTCCGTTGTCACAAAGGCCAACCAAATTCAAGAGCTGTGGAGAATCCAAAATCTGTACCTCCAATGCCATTAAACTCTATGGGGGCGGATCATACTCACTCAGGTATCTTGGTTCCCATTGATGTCCCTGACCCCATTGCAATTGATACCGCTGTTGCTAATGACCTTAACCTTCCTATTGCTCACAAGAAAGGTGTTAGATCGTGCACCACTAAACACCCCATTTCCCAATTTGTTTCCTATGAAAACATTTCACCCTCTTTTCGAGCCTTTCTCACATCCATTGACAGTGTCCCTATCCCTAAGAATGTGGCAGAAGCTCTTTCAATATCTGAATGGACAGATGCTATGAAGGAAATAATTAATGCCCTTCATAAAAATGGCACATGGGAACTTGTAGGTATTCCTAAGGGAAAGGATCCAGTTGGATGTAAATGGGTGTTCACAGTCAAACATAGGGTTGATGGCATGGTGGAGAGGTATAAAGCTCATTTAGTGGCAAAGGGGTTTACACAAGTGTACAGAGTTTATTATGCAGAGACTTTTGCATCCGTTGCCAAGATGAACTCCATTAGAGTTCTATTCTCTCTTGCTACTAATCTTGACTGGGATCTACATCAGCTTGATATCAAGAATGCATTCTTGAATGGTGACCTTGAAGAGGAAGTTTACATGATACAACCCCTTGGTTTTCAGGCTCAAGGCAATGAACAAAAGGTGTGCAGGTTGAAGAAGTCTTTATACAGGCTAAAACAATCACCGAGAGCCTGGTTTAGCAGATTCCATGCAGCGGTTCAGCAGAAAGGATACAAGCAATGTCAATCTGATCACACATTGTTTGTGAAAAGAGGAGAAGGTAAGATTGCTGCTTTGATAGTATATATGTTGATGATATAATTATCACCGGCGACTGGAAGGATGAAATCCAAAAGTTGAAGAGTTTTCTTGCCACACAGTTTGAAGTAAAGGATCTWGRTYCTCTAAGATACTTCCTAGGAATTGAAGTTGCCCGCTCAAAAAGGGGTATCTTCATTTCCCAAAGGAAGTATGTCCTAGATTTACTCCAGGATACAGGAAAAATGGGAGTGAAGCCAGTTGATTCCCCTATTGATCCTAACCATAAATTAGGTGATAGCCAAGGTGAACCTATCAAGGATGTGAAACAGTTTCAAAGACTTATAGGGAGATTGTTATATCATTCTATGACCCGCCCAGGCATTGCTTATGCAGTTGGTGTCCTTAGCCAGTTCATGCATGCCCCTATGACCACTCATCTTGAAGCAACAGAAAGAATCCTTCGATACCTTAAAAGGTTTCCAGGTGCTGGCTTGTTGTTTCAAAGGCACGAACATTTGAAAGTTGAAGTGTATACTGA